TCTTAGTCTTTGAACACTCAGACTGGAAGAAACTGGCTAGTTTTGAGGAGAGGGCCAGGGAAAATTATGCCAAACTACTGGGGGTCAAGAATATGATGGTCAGCCTCGGAGCCAGCTTAGAGAGGCCAGCCTGCCCTCGAAGAGGATGGCTGTGCGTGCGCACTGTGTAGACAGGCAAGCCACACCTGCTGGACTCCACATGACCTCAGTCCAGAGGACCCAGCAGGCTCTAGTGTGCAAGCATCCCTTCTCCTCCTCCCTTCTCCTCCATCCCTTCTCCTCCATCCATTCTCCACCTCCCTTCTCCTCCTCCCAGCTCTTTTTGCTTCCCACACATCACCCACATGTACCTATTCTGTGCCGGACACTTGGCAGCAGGGTCCACAAGGGCAAGTCTGCTGGGGCCTCCTGTGCCAGCCACAGCCAGAGGGATTCCCTGGAAGAAGGCCAAACCTCTTTGCCATTCTCTCCTCCTCTGGCATCCGAGGATTGCAGTTAGCAGCTTGGAGGCAGTTGCACCCTGCCAGGGGCCAGGGCATTCTGGGCTTACTCATACATTCCTTTCTGTCCATATTACACCCCAACTTTCAATTTCGAGAAGGTAAATATGCAATTTTCCCCCTCCCTGTAATTTTCCCTGCTGTGGCTGTGGATGTCAGAGCAGCTGGAGAATGTGAATAGCTCAGTGCTTCTAAAAGTAAAAGGAGGCCATTGAGCATCGTGCATTGTACTCTGCTCTTGGCTAGATCCAGAGGTCCTGTTGGGGGAGATGCTCTCCAGGCTGACCTATCAGGGGAACTTTAACCCCAATAATCAGTGTCCTCACCTTCCATTAGCAATGAGATCTTTGCCAAGAAGTGAGCATGTGTGTGTGCACATGCATGTGTGTATGCTTCGGGGATGTTAATAGAGTGGAATTGAAGGTATCTGCATATGCAGTCAAGCTTTCTGCATTTTCCTCTGGTGACTGTCGAAGGTCAGGACAGTCTGGTGTATGCTTTTGTTTGGGAGAAGTGAGTCAGACAGATCTGAGATGGCTTATTTGCTGTGTAACCTTGGCCATATTTAGTCTATCTGGGTCTTCATTTTATTATCGGTAGAACAGAGTGGTGGGTTTGGAAATATGCTGCCAGATCCCCTTCCAGGGAAGACTCGCTGATCACCCACAAGATGTGTGGTCAGCAGCCAGCTCCCAGCTGTCAGCTTCTTCAGGATCTGCCTCGGCAGCAACAAACTGCCGCATCCGAGGTCATGCCCTTCCCTGAGCAACCGACATCCAGCTACTGAGTAAGGGAGCTGGACGTTGTGGCTGCACCTGCTCCAGGCCTCCCATCCCAGCCTGGCTGAGCCCGTGTGCCTTTGACTTTGGAGTCTTCCCTTTTCCCTTCACAGATGTTGATCGTTAATAAACATCTTGCACCCCACGCTCTATCTCAGCATCTCCTTAAAGAGAACCAAACCTATGACAAATAAGAATAACGATTTTCTCTTCAAAGGGTTATTGTGCGAAGGCTACACGGGATGTTTATAGGTATCTAATACTGCCTGGAATGTTGACAAAGCATGACAAATATCTCATTCTTTCCCGATCTTTCCCTGGACATGATGACACTCAATCCCATTCCAGGCCTTGAGCAGGTGCTCTTACTGGGCTCTGTCATATCGAATTGGATGAAGCCCAGGGAGGAAAGTGGTCCTGCAGGTCGTGCGGGCTGCTGGGTTGGAGGCCTGGCCAAGGGTCTGGAGCCAGCCTCATCCTGTGGAGCTCATTGTGCGGGGATCACACCGGCCCTCTTCAAGGTTCCTCCTGGAGAAGAAATTGAGCATGCAAATACTCTTTTATCATAATCTCCACGTCTCCACAGGGTAATTCATAAAAGTGCTGGAAATATATTGAAATTCAATATTGTTTTAGTCCAAATCAATATTAATAATTGTTTGCATTTTAAAGTGCACTTTGCAATTGAAAAATGCACAAAGATCAACCAGTAGATGCTAACACATCAAATTTTCCCATTAAAGGCATAGTACCTTCACTTTAAAATGTTTCTTATACAACGGAGGATGGCACTGATCCATGAAAATGGTTATTTATTATTTACGCGCACAACATTAGAACTTGCTTCCATTATGCATGAGCTGAAAGGCCAGTAACTTTTATTTCTAAGTTCTTGATTTTTTTAAAGTTACACTTTTTATTCTGAGATAATTTTAGATTCACCTATGGTTGTAAAAACTAATACAGAGAAACCGTTTGTACTCTTTATCCCATTTCCCCCAAAAGTAACGTCCTCATACGACTATAGTATCACAATGATGATATTGATGGCGAAATAGGATAGAGGACATTTTCATCACTCTAAGGATTCCTTGTGTTGCCCTTTTAAATTCTTTAAAAATAAATTATTTTTAAATGACAACGGTGACTGCAACTACAGTGGGGTCCCCCATCATGAGTCCTGTTTAGACTTCTGTTTCAAAATGATTCCTATCAATAAACGAGGTGCTCTCCCAGCTGGGTTCCTGCGGGGATTCAAGCAGAGCAGTGGTCACCTCAGCAGGGAGTGGCCTCAGCCAGGCAGGCCTCAGGGAAGCGTGGCTTTGTGGATCAGAAAGAGCCTGAGAACACACTTTACAGCATGACACGTGCGTTATGAGCCTTTGCTCCCTCCACAAAGACAAGGCTGTCTCACGGAGAGACAGGGGGCAGCTTTGGTCCGCAGGGCCCAGCAGTGACCAGATTTGTGACAGGGTGTAGGTGAAGGATACCCTCACCAGAGGGCCGCCTGCTCTGCCTGAAAGTGGCCTCACGCAAATGAAGTTGACAGGTGCCTTTCTCTTCCCCAAGACGTGTGTCTCACACCAGAAGTGCAGGGAGCTTGGAAACTCATCCACAGTGGGTAGTTTGGATGCTGACTGATGCTGAGATTAAGAAAACCGAATCTTAAGGGTCACCCAGGTGACTGGAAGGGCAGTCGGGCACTCCCCGCTCATAGCTCATTTCCATCTCATGACCTCCTGCTGCTTGTTCAGGCTTCCCGAGCCACAAACTCAGCTCCCCATGTCCTGGTCATGTTTCACAGGATCATAACTTTGACCACTCTGGTCCTCCTCAGCTCCTGGGCCCACACTGTACCACCTGTGGGATGAGTGAAGCTAACAATAGAGAGTGGTTTCCGCTCACTATCCATCTTCCATTTGCTTTTGTTGATTTTCTTATTGTGATAAAATATAAATGTAAATTTTTCCATTTTAACCATATTTAAGCCCAGAGGCATTAAGGACATTCACATTGTTGTGCAACCATCACCACAATCCATCTTCAGAACTTTTTTTTACCTTCCCCAGCGGAACCTCTGGACCCACTAATTAATAATTCCCCATTCCCCCTTTGGTAACCACTGTTCTAGTTTCTGTCTCTGAATCTGACCACATGGAGCCATGTACTATTGTGACTGGCCAGTTTCTCACAGCATAATATCCTCAAAGCATGCATGTGTTGCTCTCGTTGACTTTTGGTCAATATATTCAAACTGTAATTTTGTTTGGGTATTTCCTAACATAATACCGTACATTTGGGGATAATCCATTTTATGACATTTAAATGTCTTGTATATTTGTTTGTGCATATATCACAAGTGTCAGTGTACATGTATGTATAGTCGACATTTACCCCAGCAAGTATATTAATTAGTCTTAATTATGAGGACACACCGTGCTGCCTCGCAGGGAGTGTGCAATCAGCGTTTCAGAGCTGTCGGGTTCTGTTTGGCTCCCTCGTGGAGCTCACTTCCTTGCCTCTTTGCTCATAAGATTGGGCTACAGTTCAGACCTGATTCTAACCCAGACCTGCTCAAAACAAACCCGCAGCTCCCTGAAACATAAATGACCTTTTTAAAATTCCAGGTCCATGGAGTCCCTCTTTCCACATGGCCCAGCACCTCCATCTATTAACTCCTGCTCGTTCAGTGTGCACAGAGGTTATTGATTACCTTCCCGTGCCAGGCACTGTGCACGATGCTGGCAATGCAAACATAAGGGGAGCCCCCAGCGCTGCTCCCCAGGCTCTGAGACAAGCTGGTAAACGCTCTTCGTGCTATGGGGGAAGGGCTGTCATTGAGGGACACAATTCGGGGCTCTGGCCATTCCAGACTTTGCAGGGTGGGGTGGGGAGGGACTCGGTTTCTCTACCTGCAGAATTATTATCCTCTACCCCGCCCCCTTGGCATAAAATGCCATGAAAATGTAAGAAGTCCTGGGCAGAGGTGGTATATACGGTGTGTTTCTCCCCATGGCAGCTGTCAAAGGCCTTGCAGAGGCACCTTGGCAGAGCCTCAGGACCCCCTTGACACAGCTGTGTGTTTCCAGGCTTCCCCTCAGCCTCTGTATAAGCAACCGTGTGAAGCTGGGACGTGGGACAAGACTTTGGGGCTGTTTGAGCCCGATTTACACCTCTGCCTCTGCCTTTGGACTCCCTTAGGACTCCCTTCTCCCCACTGCAGGAAGCAGGGATTGAAGGTAATCCCTTGCCTTGTAATAGGGAAGTGGATGGCGGGAGTATTTCCCACCCCAAGAGGCATCCCACTGGGCTGGACTCAGGGTATGTCAGGACCCTGGTCAGCGCCCCCTCTGTGCCCCACTTCACCGGAAGGGCAGGAGCTATTTCCAGCCTGCAACCCCACCCTAGAGTCCCAGCCCTTCCAGCCATTAGTCATCTTCGCATAGAGCCTGGCAACTTTATGCCTGTGCATCAAAACTGGAGGGATTCGTCCTGGAGTTTGCTGCCGCCGCCGCTGCCATCAGCGGTTTTAATTAGCTCAGGATTTTAATGATCTGAAATCAAGAAGAACCCTTCTCAGAAGTAAAGCAGGAGCTGCACACATGGAAGAACTTGTCTGACGAAACAGATGGAGGTGGCATTCTCAGGGGACCGGCTGTGTGCTCCTTTTCAGCGAGCAGCAAATGAGCTTCCGAGGCCAGAAGGCTGAGGAGGAAGCAGAGGTCAGTCCCAGTGTCGCCCTGGCCGGCGCCGGCAGGGGCAGAGCCAAGGTTGGCCCCTCCGCCGCCAGGGCTAATGCGTGGTGCCGGATTCAAGGTGACGGCAGTGCCTGGCTCCATTCTCCTCAAGTTGCCATAGCAGCCTCTCTCTCTCTCAATGAGAGCTTCTCCTGGAGCCCTCAGCTGGGAGGGAGGGACGTCATTGTTCGCTCCTGCCCGTTCCAGGAGGAGACCGACTGGACAGAGAACTTTCCCCGCCCGGGGTCTGCCCACCAAGTGGGTGCGCCCACGGGCATGTGCTCGGGTGCCTCTTGCTGCTTCCTCTGGGGTGTGGGTGGGTCCCCACAGCCAGAAGCGGGCCTCTGGGTGACCGGGGACGTATCCAGGCCTCGTAGCAGCCACAGCCAGGCGTGTCCTTGGAGCCGTCCGCTTGCCGCCTGCCGGGCCATCGCCACTGGAGGTGCGTTATTTTGTTTTGGGTTTTTATTTTTGGCTGAATTCCCAAGTACTTGCTTGTGCCCTGAAGTGAATTTTTTTTTTTTTGAAGAGACAATTTTTAAATCAGATAAATAAGGAAATGGGAGGAATCCTTGGCCCTGCCCTGTGTCCCAGGAGGTGTTTACAAGATTAATTGGATTTTTTTTTTTCTTGCAGTAAAAATTGGCGACGCCATTCAGGTGTCAGGGAGAGGAGCCGCTGGGAGTTCTAGGAATTGTGATGAGGGCAGGACCTTCTGGAAACTCAATGGCTGTTTATTTTCCCTGTCTCACTGCTCCCCACTCTGCCCCCAGTTATTAGAGTTTTCTCATTGTCTTGGTTGTGGAAGGGAGGCAAGGAGATAGAGGAGGGCTTTCTATCTGTCATTGGAGCTGAGGCCGATGTGGTGCATGGTGAGGGGGCCGCAGACCCAGGTGGGCCTGTGAACGTGGTTATGGGGCCTGGGCAGCCTGGCCATGCCTGTGACAGATCCTCGTGTCCGCAATCCAGGCAGCGGCTCAGCTCCCAGGAGGAGACAGCCTGCGGACCAGCGTCTCCCTGTTGCCTTGAAAATAACCTGTGGCCTGGAAGACCAGGACCCTTAGGGACAATAGGAGACCAGATGTGCGCACTCTCTGGAGTATCTGGTGTGTTGATGACCTCCCCTCTACCCCACCTTTAAAGAAAGAACCTTACTGACTCTGTGATGCTGGCCCCCTCCTGGGGCATTGAGACCCAGCAGACTTTGAACAGTCTTGCTTCCCGTTTGCATGGCAGGAAGTTAGCTGGCCAGATGGCCTCCAGTGAGAGCAAACACTGACCAGGGAGTATGGTCAGTATGGCTTAGGCGCTGGCCAGGGGAGGCCATGCTCGGCTCTAACCCCAGCTCCCCGGGCATGGAGAAGGTGCCTGTCTCTCTGGGGCCAACAAAGGGAAGGGCCTCTGAAAAGAGAGATTTGAATGGTTGCTGCTCTGCCACAGGGCAGGTGTAGATCCTGAGGCTTCGTCCTCTTCTTGCCAAGATTGGGGGCTGGGATGTGGTCCTCATTCAGGCTCCCAGGCTCATGGGCTGCCAGAGCCCAGCTCCACGTCGTGGGCTGATGTGGGCAAGTTCAGAAACAAATGAGGCCGGGTCATGGCTGCAGGACAGAGGAAGTCAATGTGTAAGATTGCGGAGAAGAGGGGACTGACCAGCCTGTAGTCACTTCTGCAGCTCCAGCCACTGTCCAAACAATGTGATGTGATCCCCGGGGCATCCGAGTCTCCCTTTTTCATCAGACGGAGTGTTTGGGCTGAGGTTGGGTGGCACTTTATCAGTTGTTTTCCAAGCACTTTTAGCCATAAACTTGCCATTATTCTCCCCTACCTCCTCCACCCTCTCCCCCTCCATTGTCCTCCTTTCTCCTTCCTTACAAAATGTCCTGATGTCAGAGGTCACCCTAGATCAGATTGGCCTCGTGGCCTCAGTCAGACTCAGGAGGCCTGTGTGGCCACAGAATGTGTGCCAATTCCATGACCAGCATAGTCAGGGCTTTGTGGCAGTTTCTTCACAGCTGGGGTCTTGCTGGGGACCGTCAATGGTGTGGGTGTGCGGGTGCTCGCCAGTGTGCGTGCAGGTGTGTGTATATACGTGTTTGCGCATGTGTCCTGTCTCCACTGCATCCCCACTCCTTCCGTTCTTTTCTGTGATGCCTGGCAATTTCAAGGGGTTAACCAACTGCTGGAGTTAAGGGGCAGAGCAAGGGCGGGAGAAAATAGCGCCACTCCCCCATCAGTGGCTCACACTTTCCCTGGACCTCAGGGCTGGCCCCAGTGGGCCCGGCAAGCACTGCCTGGGAGTCCACAGGGCATGAGCACGCAGTGGGCAGCACTGAGTGGCCTTGTTCTTCACCACAGCCTGGGGTCTGTCCTGGTCCCCAGGACAGTCAGACCCAGGGCAGCCATGAAGGGGGAGGCCATGGCCCCACATGAAGTACTTGTAGGGTCTGAGCCTTGGGAACAGGGGCTATGGCTGCCCATTTTCACCCACTGCAAACCTGCGCAGGGTGTCCCGGGGATGGCAGGAAGCAGCAGTCTTCCCTGAGGCTGGGGCCAGCCTGAAACCCCAGAGCCAGCTCCAGACACAGAGCAGAGCTTTACGCTTCCTCCCAAACATAAAAGGCTGGGAGGTCGTGGGAACCACCTGCTCGGCACAGCCCGGGGAGCCCAGGATCAGGCTGGTTCCTCATGCAGAGAGGCCTGGGGCAGGTTAATTAAAGTTAACTGAGTGAAGAAATAATTACAGAGACTGCAGTGTGGAGAAATCCAAACCCGCAATTTAACACTCCTCAGCCCCAGAGCCTTCCCTGAGCAGCCCAGGCCCTTCTGATCTGGGCAGGGGGAGGGAGGGCTTCTCTTCTTAGCACTTCCTGCCTCATGCCCCCCAGGCTGGTGCAGAGGGGACAACAGCTGAGACTTCCTGCCGGAGTGCTTGGTGTCCAGTCGGAAATGGGTTTCCTGCCCTGAGCAGGGGGGCGGGGGGGTCCTTGTGCCGAGCCAGGCTGGTCTGGGGCCCAGCCAGCCACTACCTGTGGTTTCACGTGGGAGCTGCCCCCTGGCTCAGCCCTCCTCAGGCACTGCCCTGTTCCAGGATGGGGGAAGTCAGGGCTCCTTGGGTGGAAAGAGGGTCGTGTCCCTGGGCCTGGGCTGGTAAGAACTGGAGAAAGTTGAGGGACAAAGGGACACTCCTTCAAAGGGAGGTCCTGGCATACCTGCCCGTCTGGCACAGCCTCCTGTGCGGACTCCTCTTCAGCACCCACACCGCCCCACTGCGGGAACTGGCATCCTTCCTTCAGGCAGATGGCTTTGCGTTGCCCCATCATTGCCCCATAGCCTGGCCCAACTGGGGTCACTGGTTGATATTGGAATTTTTTACCCTTCAGGAGGAGTCAAGGTCAGACGCAAGTTACATGCAGGCTCTGAGTCTGCAGTGGCCTAGCCTCTGAGCCGAGGGTGAGTCAGACTCCGGTCTGGCTGCCCTGCCTCAGCCCCAGGCCTGAGGGCCTCATGGTCGGTCGGAGACAAACACGATCTGGGATCTGGCCAGTCCCACCAGCCCATCCATCAAGTCTGTCAGGGAGGGCAGACTGGTGGGGAATGGCCAGGTGGCGGCATCAGTCTTTCCCCAACATCCTCTGGGCCTGGGAGGCACCTTCTCAAAGCCTCCTGCCCTGTGGACACCTTGTCCCGAACATCTCAGAGAGGGGCCAGGGCAGAGGAGGACTGAGGCCTTCCCTGCCCACCGGATCAGTGGCAAGGGACAAGGACCTGGATCCCCATGTGTCCCTAGAACTCACCATGGCGAGCAGGTGTGCTTGTTGAGAGGCTCAGAGAAGCCGGACAGTGCCGGTGGGTGGCCACTGTGCCTAGCCTGGGTCTTGGGGCCTTACTCTTGGCTGTCCCAGGCAGAGGCCAGAGTGTGTCTCTCTCCATGGGTTTTCTGGGGGTGCCGATACAGGAACCCCTGGAGGGGAGCTGGAGTCCCAGCTCCAGGTGGTCACTGGACCTCCTTGGGCTTGAGAGGTGGAAGGGACACACCTGAGATGCGAGGGGCTGAAGACTTCAGGGGTTACACTCGGTCACGTGCAGTGACTGGGGCCTCAGCTGCCCAGGAGGCCCTGTGCGTGGTGATGGACCATCTTTCTCCCCTTCTGCCCTGTAGACTGTGGCCTGATGGACACCTGGTGTAGACAATGAGGGAAGAACTCACCTCCCACACCCAAGAGGTGACCCCGGAGCAAGGCCCAGATGACCCCACGTGCCGGAACGATGCGGCTGGCCTGCATGTTTTCCTCCATCCTGCTGTTCGGAGCCGCGGGCCTCCTCCTCTTCATCAGCCTGCAGGACTCCACGGAGCTCACCCCCCAGCAGGTGCCAGGTGAGCCCCCGCATTTGGCCCTGCCACCCGCTTGCTCTCCCAGGCTGCCCTGGGGCCAAATCTGTGCTGAGACCCCCTAGCCTCCTCCTGGCGGGCATCAGCCTCAACATGGGAACACTGTCTGATGTCAGCCTTAGGGCTTTGGCTTCTGACCTCTGACCTCTGGCCTCTGCACTCCTTTTGGGAATGATGGCCAGGCTCCCCATCTCTCAGCTGGTTGTTGCCTTTGGTGAAACTCAGATTTAAGGAGGATTCTGCCACCTCTCAGGACCTCTTCCAGGATCTGGGACATCGGAGGGTGCATGATTTCTCCTTGAATTCCTGTGCCCAAATGGGGCTCTCTCTGCCCAACCCTGGGACCCCTTGAATCTAGCCACTCTGGCCTGGACAGAGGGATAGAGGAACCTCCTGGGGCTGAGACTGCTCCTGCTGATGTCCCACCTGCTGCCTCCCATCCCACCTGCCCCTGGTGACCCACTGGAGGGGCAAACCTCCCTGACCAGCAGAGATCCGCTGGGGTCAGGGAGGCAGAGCAGGACACATGGTTCTGGAGTCTTGGGCAGATGGGATGTGGAGAGAGGAACTCAGGCAAGGTGCCTGCCTGTGGGACCAGCCCCTGCCCCAGAGAACACGGCAGGGTCGGAGGGCAGCAGGCACAGGTCCCCGGCCAGGGTCACTGCTTTGGAATGCGAGGAAAGCACCGCTGCCAGGCCCAGAGCGCCGGCGGCTCTCGGCACTGGTCCTGGGCCTTGTTAGGGGCGGGCCATGCAGACACCATGTGCAGTGTGATCTAGGGCACGGGCAGCACCTGGCCCCTAGGCGGGCAGCCTCTTCCCCCGCTGCCCTCAGCCCTGGCTGGCTCACTCTCAGGGCACTGTAGGCGGTAGGCAGTAGGTGGACAGGCAAGAGGAGCATGAGCAGCCAGAGTTAGGGCCCTGGGCTTGGCAGCTGCTAGCAGAGGCCCTGGCAGGGGACGCCTAGGAGTAGATTCTCTCATCACAGAGAGTCCGTGAGAGGCAGCCAAGGCCGCGTGTCCCAGGAGGTGGCAGCCAGTCACTGGTGCTGACTCACCCTGGCCGGCCCCTCACAGATGGTGGCTGTCACAAGTGGGTCTGGCTGCTCCCCAGCAAGGACATGTGACCAAGCTGGCTCCTCTGTGGGGACTTTGCAGCCTCAGGGGGTAGCGGCTCTGTCAGCCAAATCAGGTCCCAGCCATCAGGACGGACAGAGTTGGCCCTGTGGCATGTATTACCTGGGAGGAAGTGAGCTCCAGAGGAGAGGCCCCCAAACACAGCCTGGGTGAAGCACCACACATCCCCGCTGTGTGTGTGTGTGTGTGTGTGTGTGTGTGTGTGTGTTTATGTGGTGAGGGTGCACATATGGATAGAGGGTCGTCATGGTTGGTGTCCAGCTGGGACAGGGCCATGCACCCATCCCTGGCACACGCTAGAGGCAGGTGCTACATTCCTGGGTGGAGTTGGGTGTGGTGGCTGGGATTTCTAGGGTGCAGTGCTGAGTGGGGTGTGGAGGGTAGGGAAGGATCTCAAAGGCGCAGGCTGGCTGGGTGTGAAGGATGGAAGGAAGCTGTAGCCAGGGACCACGTGGGCCTGGCAGATGCAGGCAAAGAGCACGCTTGGGTCCTGAGCTGTACTATTCTGACTGTAAATGGAACTGAACCACCCTTGCCATGTGCCGGGTGACGGACAGCCTTGACACCCTACGTAAAGCCCACCAAACACAGTCGTAAAACTTTAAATAATGCTTACATTACTTTCCCTGAGCAAAGTGTTCCTGACACAGGCTGTTTGTGCTGATTTGTTACTATTCATTTATTCTTTCCCTGTACTTCTCACAGCAGCCTAATTGTGATTCGGTACCAAGAAAGCAATATCAAAGTAATTTTCCACAACATTAGTTACAATTTTCTTCTGATCTTTCAAGTGAAACAATCCCATCCTGTTGGCTTCTCTGAGCATATAAACCTTGATTACACTTATCTGTTGGAAACCAGTGCTTACAAAGTGTATGTATCCAGTTGCATGGGTGGGTGGCCCCCAGGGCCCTGGACAAGCCTTCTCAGGGTGGATTCCTGCCCATGGGAGCTGCAGACCCAGGCGGCTGCCCTGCCACCTGGATCGGACGAGGCTGAGGGGGTCTACAGGGGAAATTCCACCGGGCGACTCTGTCTCTCACAGTGGCAGAGAGTTTCTGGGAAACCAGTCACTGGGATCTGCTCTGGGCGGCACTGACCAAGGGGGAAGGGAGGGTGGGCAGGTGGTGACTTGGAAACAAGCTAGGAGGGCAGGTGGGAGCCCTTAGTTACTTGTGTTCTCAGGGTTGGGCTGCCATTGAGGTTTCTCCCATGCAGTTACCAGGGGAACAGCTGCTGAATTTCTCGGGACCAGTCAGCACACATCACCTGGCTAGTGCATTAGAAGCAATCCTAGGGAATTGCCAACTGTTGTAAATCGAGCCTTATTTTCAAAAATGTTGGCTATATTTATTTATTTTTGTTGTTAATCCTCACCTGAGGATATTTTTTCATTGATTTTTAGAGAGCGTGGAAGAGAGAGGGAAAAACAGAGAGAAATATCAATGTGAGAGAAACACATTGATTGTTGCCCCCTAAATGAGTCCAACCAGGGACTGGGCCAGGGAGGAGCCTGCACCCAAGGTACGTGCCCTTAACCAGAATCGAACCCAGGACCCTTCGGTCCTCAGGCTGATGGTCTATCCAGTGAGCCAAACTGGCTAGGGCAATGTTTGCTATATTTAAACCAAATCTTTTAAAATGTGAATCACTTCCAGTTAACCTACCTTCAGTCTAAGATTAGATTTTCTTGTGGATCAGAGAATTCACCTATCCATAGTTTTATTCTCCAATATTGCCAGGTCCTAAGTCACTTCTTGATCAGGAGACTAGACTTATCTCTTTCCTAAATGGAAGACTCAGAGAGCATGCCAGAACCAGGAATGACACATCCCAACATGCTGGCCCTGGGGAGGCAGAAGACAGGCATACTGAATTTTTATGAGCTGTTTTTCTTCATGAACTTTTCATATGGGGAGTTTGGAACACACAGAGAAGTAGATTAGAACAGTACAATGGACTCCATGCACCCAGCACCCCCATCCTGGCCCAGCTGGCCCATCCATATCCCCACCTGCCTTTCTCCTTCTGTATGATTTCAAAGCAGGTACCATGTGGAATATGAATGCAGCCATAAATATTTCAATGTTTTTCTCAGTTTAAAAGATAAGAACTCTTTGTTAACATTCAACATTTTTAATATCATCAACTATTCAGCCAGTGTTCAGATATCTTGTTGTCTCACAAACATTATATAATAAATACCTTTAGTTCCCATTTGTTGTATTCAGTACCCAGGTCAGGCCCACACATGGCAGTTGATGGGCAAGTCATTAAATCTCTTCCATCGGTAAAATTCCCTCTCCATCTTTATTTCTCTCTTGCTATTTGGTGGAGGAAACTGGGTCACAAGTCCCGTAGAGTTTTCCACAGTTGGGATTTTTGCTGATTGAGTCCACTTGGTAGAGTCCAATATTGTCTTCTGTTCTTTGGAGTCCCTATCAGTTAAGTAAATTAGCAGTTCCATCAAATGAAGGAAACAATGTAGTTTTTCTTCTTTCACGTGTGGCACCGGGTTCTTCCTTCGGGAGGCGCACATCTGCGGGGCTCGCTTTGGCGAAGTCGGTAGCCTAGACCCAGCCATTCACTGGGGTCTAGACCCAGCCGTTCACTGCACAACGCGCTCTGCAGGATTATCATCCCCCCGCCCTTCTCAGTGCGATGGATTTTGTTCTAATGGGGTGAAGCGAGTGGTCAGTGACCCGTGAAACCAAAGTGACTGGTGGATTGATTGGGTTATTCATTGATACATTAAAGAAATTGACTTTATGATACAAATTGTGTTGCTAGCACACTATAAGTAGTTTTTCTTAATCTTTGATTTTTGCAGAATGAGTTTTCCGAAAGCGGGGCCACCCCGTGTTTCAGCGATGTAACTGCTTCCCCAAAGCTGTGGAGTTGTGGGTGGGGGTGCTAGGGATCTGGGCTGGTGCTGGGGAGTCGTGGTGGGAAGGCAGCCGCTGGCACAGCAGATGTTCTGCTCAGGGGTTGAGAGTGCATACAAAGGGACTGGACAGCTCAGGTGGTGTCTTGGTCTACAGCCTACCCCAGGGCACTCCCTCCAGGGCAGAGGGCATTCAAAGATAATCACAATAACAAACAACCACTTGCCAGGTCTGTGTTTTCATGCATATCCTACCTAATAAAAGAGTAATATGCAAATTAACCATCACTCCTCTCAAGCCACACTCACCAGCCATGCTACCAGCCAATCAGAGCAAGTATGCAAATTAACCCCAACCAAGATGGCTATAGCCACAGAGAGCAGTTGAGAGGCCCGCCTAGGCCTCCACTCAAGGATACAGAGTTTCAATTATATAAGATAAATCCCAAGAAAAATGGCAGCAGCCACTGAGCTGGAGAGAGCAGGCTAGGGTTGCCCCCAGCAATGGAGGAAGCAAAGCTTTTCACCTGCCCTGGCTGGCCTAGGCTTCTACTCAAGGCTACAAAGTTTCATTTATACAAGATATGTAAAACCAAACAGAAATGGCGGCAGCCATGAAGTGAGCAGAAGGCTTGGTTCTGCTCCAGGCTACACAGTTTCAATTGTAGAAGGTAAATAAATTCCAGATACCAGGGCCTCCGCTTGGGTCGCCAGGGGCATGGCCAGCCTGCAAACCACCACAGGCCCCTCTCCCAGGCCGCCCCACACACCAAGGGAACCCCCACCCTGATCCAGGACACCCTTCAGGGCAAACCAGCTGGTCCCTATCCATGCACCAGGCCTCTATCCTATCTATTGATAATAAAAGAGTAATATGCAGATTGACCATCACTCCAACACACAAGATGGCTAGCAGGGGAGGGCAGTTGAGATCTGCATGGGAAGGCAGTTGGAGGTGACCAACCC